TTTCTTCTTCTTCTTCTTCTTCTTCTTCTTCTTCTTCTTCTTCTTCTTCTTCTTCTTCTTTGTTTGTTTGTTTGTTTGTTAGTTTCCTCGTCGTTATCATAATTTAAAAAATGAATTTTTTAACTCAACTCGCATTATATCCAGTGTCAAATAGACTCACCCAATACTTGTCTGATTGTCTTCCCCTCAGGTGAGAGAGTTTACGGTGTGCTATGTGTTTGTCTGATTGTCTTCCCCTCAGGTGAGAGAGTTTATGGTGTGCTATGTATTTGTCTGATTGTCTTCCCCTCAGGTGAGATAGTTTACGGTGTGCTATGTGTTTGTCTGATTGTCTTCCCCTCAAGTGAGAGAGTTTACGGTGTGCTATGTGTTTGTCTGATTGTCTTCCCCTCAGGTGAAAGAGTTTACGGTGTGCTATGTGTTTGTCTTGTCTTCCCCACAGGTGAGAGAGTTTACGGTGTGCTATGCCACGTTGTTTAACCGTTACGACCATCACGCCATGTTGCTTCAGTCGATCACGTTCAACCGACTGATGGGGGTGGGCCACATGTACATCTACAATCAGAGTGTGGGGCCGATGGTGGACGCCTTGTTGAGACACTACACAGACCGGGGACTCCTCACCGTGCTCCCCATGCCCAAACGTCCGGCCAACAAAGCCTGGTATCATGGACAAGATATCACCATACAGGACTGTATCTATCGCAACCGAAACACTTCCCAGTTTGTGGTGGTCGTAGACCCAGATGAGTTCATCGTTCCCCTTCAGCACAAGTCTTGGGGAGAATTACTCAGCGACGTTCTCCACAGAGAAGCCAAGCAAAACCACGTACACAATGTTGGGAGCTTTACTTTCATCCACGCATTCTTGTGTGACAGGTCACAGAAACACGACGACCCACACTGGACGCAGCTCAAGCAAAACTTTTCCATCACAGAAGAGGAAGAAGACTTTATCAGACGAAACAAGGTGATTTTGTTTCTGGAAAAGCACAGACAAAAGTTCCATTCATACCCCAGGAGAAGTAAAACGATTTACAGACCAGAGTTTGTCCGTGAGCCAGGAATACACTACCCGCGAAAGTTGTGGTCAAATCAAAGCCAAGTTGTTGTAGATACCAGTTTAAGCTATGTTGCACACTTTCGATATATGTACGATGGTTGTTTACTAGATACCTCTGCTTTCCGTTTTTATAGAGATTACCTAAACCTGCTGAAGACAGCTTATGATGAATTTCAGAGTTATGTTTCAAGTCCGTGATCAGCACACTTTGAATACGAAGTGAAAAACATTCCCTTTGCCAACAGCTGTTGGAATCATCTTTTGTACGAATTTACATTGTCCTCTCCCCCGCCCCTCTCTCTCTTTACTTCTTTCTCTTTCTCTGTCTCTGTCTCCCTCTGCCCCTCTCTCTCTCTCTCTCTCTCTCTCTCTCTCTCTCTCCCCCCCTCTCTCTCTCCCTCTTTCTCTGTCACTCCTCTCCTCCTATTAACACTACCTGTCTCGCTCTGACAACAAAGTGACATTAAAACAGGATGATAATTAATGCATTTACTCGCTGAAAGAGGAGAAGAGAGAAAGCGAGAGAGAGA